GGACAAGTTAGGACAAGGATTGTGGGGCATTGCTGTGACAGACCTGCCCGTGTTTTTGGAGGGGTTGTGTCAAGACTTTGGAACTAAGAGCATGGTGGGATGTTCTGTGGGAGCTTGGGAGACAAGAATGTTGAGAGCAGTACAGAGTTTTGGGGCCTGGCTTGTGATGTTTCAGAGGGAAGTACAAAGACTCTATCAGGGCCATTTGTTATTTTGAATTAAGATCCCGTGGTTCCGGTTAGCTGGGGTTGAAGAATCAGCTGTGACTAACAAGGGACCAGAACTACTAAAGTGAAACTTTGCTTTGCTGGGATACTTGATGCTGGTCAGCTCGAGCTAAGAAATTATCAGTGACTAAGAAGAGAACTGCATCACTGAGGGAAAATCTTCTGGGAAGTGTTTCCTGAGAGCACAGAGAAGCTGTGTTCCAGAAGCAGCCAAAATGGTACCCTGTGCTGGCAGCAGGACTTGGTAATGTGTCAGAGTCACCCAGGTGGTACTGGTTTTGAAGCCTTGAAGGGATCCTGGGAAACACTTGAGAGGTTTGGCACTGTGAGAGGCCAGGAAAGGTCATTGATAAAGGTGCTGCCTCAAAGCTGTTGAGGCACAGGATCGAAGGGGTCATACAAAGAAACTGAGGCTTGGCACCATGAGGAGAGCCTATGAGAGGCTATTGGTGAAAGTGCAGCCCAGTTGCAGAGAGGACCCCAGCATTTTGGAGATGCCAGTACTATGAGATGGCCAATAAGAACAGCAGCAGCTGTGGAGTGCAGCCAGCTGGAGCCTGGAAGACAAGCTGTGTGTGCTACAGAGGGCAGAGCTGGGGAAGTGACCCAGACATTTGGAGGAGTCCAGAAGATAGTGAGTGGATCCCAGCCATTGGACGGTAGGAACTTTGTTTTGCTTTGATTTGATTGTGATGGTGCCCTGATTTCTCCTTCTTGAAGTAAAACAGTATTTTACTGGAGCTCACAGTTGAGAGACTTTGGATTTTTAAGGGACTCAAATTTTAATGTGTTTGAATTTGTAAAGACTGTGGGCCTTTGAAAGTTATTTATATTTTTAATGTGACATCTTGGGGATGAATAAGAAAGGAGGTATTATGTCTTTAAAAGTGATGTATTTATGTGTCAGGTTGACAAGGGGTCAAGTTGACAAGTTGTACTGGCTGGCTTTGTATGTCAACTTGGCAGAAGCTAAAGTCATCAGAGAGGAAGGCGCCTCAGTGAGGAAATGGTGAGGAAATGCCTCCATGAGACCCAGCTATAAGGCATTTTCTCAATTAGTGATCAATGGGGGAAGGCCCAGTCTACTGTGGGTGGTGTCATCCCTGGGCTGCTGGCATTGGGTTCTATAAGAAAGCAGGATGAGCAAGCCAGTAAGCAGCACCCTCCATGGCCTCTGAATCACCTCCTGCCTCCAGGATCCTGCCCTGTGGGAGTTCCTCTTCTGACTCCTCCAAGGAGGGAGTATGATCTGGAAGTATAAACCAAATAAACCCTTTTCTCCCCAAATTGCCTTTTGGTCATAGTGTTTTGTTGCAGCAATAGAAACCCTAACTAAGACAGCAAGGTCCCAGGCTGGGCCCCCAGTGCATGATGAGTCCTGTACACACCCTGGGGTCTGGGAAGGTTGTCCCTGAGGCTTTAGCCTGCAGAAGTGAAGGATGGAGACTGAACGGCTGAGCTGTGTCCTCAGAGGCCCTGAGCCTGCATCTGCTGCATCTGCAGGATCTGGCTGAGAATGCACTGCACATCCTCATCCCTGAGTTAAGATGGTACGGGACACAGGCAGAGCTGAGAGAATGAGAGAAGAGCGAGAAGCAAGGAGGGAGAAAGAGAAGGAGACACCTAGGGCCAGTCAGCCAGCCACCAGCCTGCCAGCCACCGAGGAAGAGTGAAAATAGGGCATACAGAATGAAAGGTCAAAAGCTCTGACAGCTTAAGTTAAGTCACATGAGCGAGTGGGACAAGCATAAAATAAGGCCGTGCGTTCATAACTAATAAGTCTCTGTGTCATGATGTGGAGCTGGTTGTTGGCTCAAAAGAAAGCCTGCGACACCTCTGTGCTCCCAACATGCAGCCATTCTATAATCAGCATTAGCATGTGACTCCACCTGTTATTTTCCAAGTTCAGGTACAAATGAGTAGTCTTGGGAAACTAGATTATATGATCCATAAATCCTATCATATGCCAGATTGAACATTATTGAGAACTAATGGGGTCCAGACCCTTAATAGTCCCCTCCCAGATTCCCGAAAGAATCTACAACCAGCTGATAATTCATCTTTGATGAAAAGAAATGAATCTATGTACATGAAACTCCTTAGTCCAGACACTTCATTATTCTGTGTCAATTCTCTCTCTACAAGCTTCTATTCTCTTTTAGCTCTTTTCTTGCCAGATTTCTCTCTATATTCATCTATTGCTCCCTCTAAGTTCTATCTTAATTCTCTCATCTTAATTCTGCCTCACCTAGGTTCTTTTAACCTCGTTCTTACCCAGCTAGCACTTCCCGATCTGACTCTTTCTCATCGTCCATCTCATCCGCATGTTCTCTCTGGTCAAAACCCTCCTTATCCCTCTCTGTTCTCTGTCTCTCAGTTCTCCACATCCCCCCCTAAGTCTCCCAGGAATCCAGTTATAAACCCAAGCCACAGCAATCCCCTGGTTGAGCAAGGTCACCAGGCTTGAATTCTACGGGGTCATCAAGGCAGGTAAGAATTTTCTCAGGCAGTGACCACCAGGCTTTCTTTTACAACCCAAAATGGGAGTGGTAAAAGAGGAGGTCAGGGGCTGGAGAGATGGCTCAGAGGTTAAGAACACTGGCTGTTCTTTCAGAGGTCCTGAGTTCAATTTCCAGCACCCACATGGTGGCTCACAACCATCTGTAATGAGATCCGGCTCCCTCTTCTGGCCTGCAAGGATGCATGCAGACAGAAAACTGTATACATAATAATTTAATTAAAAAAAAAAAAGATGAGGTCAACTGAGTGCTAATGACCAGTTAGTATATCAAAAAGGGGATCTACGTTCTCAGTTCACATTCCTAGAAGTGCTTAGGTAAGAAGTTAAGGGGTCTATTGGTAAGGTTGTATAAGAAAGGAGGGTCTCACCCTAAATTGTACTAGAAATAAAGCTATCTGCCTGACCTAAATGACAGGTGTAGTTTCATTCAGCCTTAGATGCTTGATAGGCTTTTTAGACAAATACAGTGTTAGGAGTTCTTTGGAAGCCCACAAGAAAATCATTTTAGGAACCGGCTAATATTAATCCATGGCTTGACCTTTGGCAAAGTCCTTAACTTTTCTAAGTAGTAGCTTTTGTGATAGTAGCTGAATTCCATTACATTTTCCTGTGACTTGCAGCAGAACTTGCCATTCAAGTGTTAGTGTGGCTTGCATGAAACTTCAGTGGAAGGCCTGCAGGCAGGACACAGGATAAAACTCCTCCACAAAAGCAAGTTTCCATTTTCATATGTGTTTTTGTTTGTTGAGGTTGGAGGTGGGCCCTTTGGGAGTCAGTCCATCCAAGGCTTTTTTCTGAGGCCCTGATGAAATCATCCAGGGACTAGTGTTCTGTGTGTTGGCCTAAAGACAGACATGGTGAAGTCTGTTCTGATATTTGAGCCACTGTGTGGAAGGAATCAAGGGTTCCAGACTCTTTAGCCTGAGGGTGTGTGGCTATCAGTCCCTAGGCCACCAGGTGCTCAGCCTGAGGTCGCCTGTGTTCTTCTTGCCCTGCCCCCTCTCAAATGGTGTGTGAGAGCTGTACTTAATAAACTTGCTTAGCATGAGCCATCAGTTTATGCAATATGTACTGCTCCATAACTTTCTATCTTCTCATTCCAGGTTGTCACCCTGAACACCTCCCCTTTGGGGCCCCTAATTGCTGGTGTTTCAGGTCACAAGCTGGTTTAACCTTTTGATGTCCTTCCTGTATCCACCTCCCAAGTGCTGGCATGATAGGCCAGTGCCACCATAGAAAGCTGGGAAAGTGTTAGTGTTTGGATGGCAAGGTGCAGCTGAGAGAGGTGTGAGCAGTCGTGGGTGTGCCTTATTGAAATTGCTGGTGCCTGGTGAATGTCAATCAGGTGGTTTATATTTGAACTGGGTGGACTGGGTACCATTTCAGCTGTGAGGGAGGGGGATCACTCCACTGCACATTGTTTAATGATCTTCATATGCTAGAGAGACCCTGTGGCCAGATGGAGAATTGTCTACTGAGTGAGGGACAAGTTCAGGGACGACTCTTCAGTATAGGTGCAAGTTTCTGCTTCAATGCCAATCTCTGCAGGTCTGTGACAGTTGGGAACTGCAGAGCTGCATCTTTTTTTCTTTCTTTTCTTTCTTTCTTTCTTTCTTTCTTTCTTTCTTTCTTTCTTTCTTTCTTTCTTTCTTTCTTTCTTTCTTTCTTTCTTTCTTTCTTTCTTTCTTTCTTTCTTCCTTCCTTCCTTCCTTCCTTCCTTCCTTCCTTCCTTCCTTCCTTCCTTTCTTTCTTTTTTTTTTTTAAGCTCGCCAAGCAGCGGTTCCTCCCCAACAGCTGCTCAGGATCTCGACTACAGGGTATTTTTTTTTTTTTAAAAGAGATTTATTTATTTATTATTTATACAACATTCTGCCTCCATGTATGCCTGCTCGCCAGAAGAGGGCACCAGATCTCATTATAGATACTGTGAGCCATCAAAGTGGTTGCTGGGAATTGAACTCAGAACCTCTGGAAGAGCCGTCAGTGCTAAAATGTGTAGCCCAGGCTGGCCACGAACACGTGATCCTACTGCTTCCGCCTCCTTCAGCAAATCCTACTGGCGAGCGCCACCACAACGGGCGAGCTGCAGCTTTTCACTGCACTGTCTCTAAGGGAGCTGTCCCTGTCACTCAGGCATCACTAGCCAATCATGGCCTCCAAATGGACTTCCAGTCAGAATGTGGGCGGGTACTTCCGTTCCCCCTTGGCGAAGGCTCCCTCAGCTCCGCGACTGAGGGAGGGAGACCCTGGTGTTCTGTGTGCTGCGCTGTGACCCGCTGCCGGGAGCTGTGAGGAGAGCCCGGCGAGCTGGGAATCCGCCATGGTGATTGAGGGGCCGCCGTCCCCATGCGGGGAGGAGCCTTGGGAACAGGTGTGGGGTCCTCCTAGGGCTGTGGGAAACAGCCGCCCAACACAGTGAGGTCACATAAGGGCCATGCCACTTCCGGGAGCTGGGCGGGAACCGGCGGACCAAGTAATTTCCTGGCGCCCCCCCCCCCCCCTCGGGTGCGCAGGCGCAGAGCATGGAAGGCGGGAAACCTTGTGTGGAAACATCCTTGTTGTCAACGTTATGGTGCAGGGCGCGTGTATGCGCTGTTTTTACTGTCTCCAGGGAAGGCAGATTTGCTAATTCACAGAGTCCTGGTGTCTCTAGTGTCTTCTAGAAGTTCTGCACTTGTCACTGAACATTCAGGTGTAGGTAGATCTGTCCGCAGTTAATTCTGTGCAGGGTGTGAATTCTGTGTCATTAACATATTTGCATGTAGATGCCAGGGTGGGCCAGTCACGTGTGTCAGTAAGGCCATTCTTTCTGTGTTTCCTGGCCTCCTGTGTCACAATTAACTCCATATTAATTGGGTTTTCATTTCTAAGTTTGCTCCCTGTTCTATTCATCTCTTAATTTTTTCCCAGACAGTACAGTCTTCATTGCAGATATATGAGAAGTTTTAAATTTAGATGGTGTCAGAGTGTGTACTGTTTATTTACCTAATCTTATGTCGATAATTTTTTCATTCATGATGACCTTTTATTTATTTATTATGTATACAGAAGAGGGTGCCAGATCTCATTGCAGATGGTTGTGAGCCACCATGTGGTTGTTGGGAATTGAACTCAGGACCTCTGGAAGAGCAGTCAGTGCTCTTAACCTCTGAGCCATCTCTCCAGCACCTCAATTTTTTTTTTTCTACAAGTTGGGCTTGTTTTAATTTTTTCTTTGTCCCACGAAGGGACCATTGATAATGAGTTATTCTCACTATTTTGGAAAAATAAAAAACATTTCCGATCAAGAGACCCTTAGTATTGAGTAATTCCCTATCTGAGGCAAAACCAAAATATATTTAAACCAAAACTAAGCAAACAAACAACAAGAAACTTGTCAGCTCTGGTGGTGCTCTGGCTGCAGCAGGGAAGCCTCCTCCTTTGTCCTTTGTGATTCAGATCTGCAGCTGTGCGCTTCACTGGGGCTTTATCACAAGGAGCCTTTTCACCACCTCTGGTTTTTGGAAAGCGGCTTTTTTCTTTATTTTTTGTTTATGGGACCTTTTAATTTTTAGGCCTTGATTCAATATTCCCCTCACCCTTTTAAATTTTCTTCCCTCTTTTGGGAAGGTTTCCTTTTTATTTTCTTTCTTTACCCTTTCTTTACTGTGAAGTGTGGTGATATTGTGTTCCCCAAAATATTGTGTACCCTAATAAACTTATCTGGGATCAGAGAACAGAACAGCCACTAGATAGACATAGAGGCCAGAAAATAGTGGCACACACGCCTTTAATCATAGCACTTGGGAGGCAGAGGTCCATCCAGATCTCTCTGAGTTCAAAGCCACACTGGAAACAGCCAGGCATGGTGACTCAGGCCTTTAATCCCAGGAAGTGATGGCAGGAAGCAGAAAGGTATATAAGGCATAAAATCCAGGAACTAGAGCTGGGTAAGCGTTTAGGCTTTAGCCAGCAGTTCAGCTGAGATTCATTCTGGATGAGGACTCAGAGACTTCCAGTCTGAGGAAACAAGATCAGCTGAGGAATTGGTGAGGTGAGGAAGCTGTGGCTTGTTCTGCTTCTCTGATCTTCCAGCATTCACCCCAATACCTGGCTCCGGGTTTGTTTTTATTAATAAGACCTTTTAAGATTTGTGTTAAAAAGAAAGGTCTTTTTCTTTGATTTATTTTTTTGTCTCAGGAGTCATTTTTTTAACTTTAATATTTGTAATAATTGTGTAGTTATACTTTTTTTTCTTTTAAAACAAGCATTGTAGCAGTAGGCCATTTAATTGTTCGTGAGACGGGGAATTTAAATTCCACATGATCCCGGCAATCTTGGAGTCCTCTTACCCCAAGGGCGCACTTTTTTACCTCCAGTCCTTAGAGTGTCCAGATCTCTTTTTAAGCCCTGTGTTGGCCCTTGTGTGGAAACTTCCTTGTCACCATGCAGGGTGTGTACTGTTGCCAGGGAAAGCAGATTTGCTAACTCTCAGAGCCCTGGTCTGTCAAGTGTCTTCTAGAAGTTTTGCACTTGGCACTGAACCTTCAGGTGTGGGAACAATTATCCGCAGTAATTCTGTGCAGGGTGTGAATTCTGTGTCATTAACACATTTGCATGTAGATGACAGGGTAGTCCAGGCATGTGTGTCATTAAGGCCAGACTTACTGTGATTTCTGGCCTCATGTGGCAAAATTGACTCTACATTTATTGTGTTTTTATTTCTAAGTTTGCTCTCATGTTCTGTTGATTTCTTTATTCTTTCCCAGAAAGTGCAGTCTTTTTTTGACACAGCATTTCTCTATATAGACCAGGCTGGTCTCAAAATCACAGAGATCCTTTCTCATCTAATTTCTGATTGTAGCATAAATTGTTAGACTTTTTATTGGACTTTTGCTGTATCCATGGCTCAAATTCTGTATTGTTGTGATATACTAATAGCCAAGATGACAGCAAACCACTTGGTTGCTTTCTACTCAAGGTTAGTCCTGCTCCCTCCTAAGGAAGCCCCTCCTCCATCAGGCACAGTTCCAGTGGCATCCCCATTCTCCATGGTTAAATGTGCACGGTTACATCCTTTCCTTAAAAAGACTCTTTAATTAGGTTTGCGTTTATGTAGGAGGAGGTGGTCCCTGTGTCCTAGGCAGGTAGGCCCCATGCAAGTAGGGAACAGAGGAAAGAATCCATGACCCCAACCAGAGACAGTTGAGTCCATGGACGAGTTTCCCCAACTGACTGTAACCGTTGAAGCCAGTTGTTGTCATCCAGGTCATTCACCTTCTCCTCAGTCCCCAACACAAGATGTTGCTTGGCCCCATTTTCTCCCAATTGAGTCTGGTCTGGGTTGTGATCAGACAGATTTGTGACTCTCCATGTTTGCTGGACTGAAGACTTTTGGGTTTAATTTGTTAAAATGGTTAAATCAGTGGTGTTGTTGCATGCTTTTAATCCCAGTACTTGGGAGGCAGAGGCTGGCAGATCTAGAGTTTGAGGCCAGTCTGGTCTATAAAGCAAGTTCCAGGTCATCCAGGACCACACAATACCCATCAGTTTGTTGTCTCAAAAAACCAAACAGACAAAAAAGTTAAGTAAAATTTAAAACCTATGTGCCTTGTGTGGCAGGCACTTCTCTCCAGTTAGAAATGCAGCTTCATGGCATCATCTACAGCAGTCACACTTCAGCACACCAGGTTTATAGATCATTGCTTGAAAAGAGACACAAATTATGGAAGAGAAGGTAGTGGAACTTTTTCTATTTCTTAGGGCTCAGCCCAGGAGAACTTTTCCCTTTCCCTGGAACTGCTTAGAGCAGGCATGAAAAGAGGGAATGCTCATCTGAAGAACTATTTCCCCTGACCTGTGTGCATTCTGCTTAGATGGCCGTGGGTGTTGGGGCCTGGACTAGTGGCCTGGCTGCATTTGTTAGAACTCCGGAAGGAAGTGTATCCTGACTTGTTGGGAAGTCAGGCTATACCTGCAAGTGTTACATCCGTGGAGGGAAGGGTATCCTGACATGTCAGGAAGTCAGGCTGTATCTACAGTTGTGAAGGGAAGGCATCTTGGATACCTACAGCTGTGAGGAGAAAGGTATCCTGACTTGTCTGGAAGTCAGGCATACCCGAAGCTGGCTTCTGGTGAGTTATGGCCTCCCCTCAGGATGTGGCACTCTACAGCTGAGCTCTACTTTGCAGAGCTAAGGGAGTTTTCCAGCAGAGGTAATGCGTTTCTTCTTAGCTCCTGCCCAAGATGTTGCTTCTTCTGCTTCACTCTGCTAAAGGGGAAATCCCTGCAGAAATGTAGCAATCTGCTCTGGCTCCTGGGAAAAGTTGTCACTTTTCTCCACTCCCATTGGAGTTTCCCAGCAGAGGTATCTGTTTCTTCTTCTGCTCTGCCCCCTAAGGGAGCTTCCCAGCAGAGACTCTGCTCTGTGCTGGTGAAAGATCTTCACCCAAAACACTTTCAAGAAAGAGCTGTATTGGGACTGAGGTGTCCAGGAGAGTGGCTGCCTCTGCTAGTGTGGAGAAGGACAGCTGATACCTGAACAGGCAAAGGGGATTATGTAGGGTTTCTTAGGGGCAGAGTTTTTCCAGAGAAGATTTTCAGGGAGGGAATTGGTCAGATTTTGATCCCCTTGAGCCTGGACAAGCTCAGATTGGCTAGATTTTGTGCTCAGGATTGGTTGGTTTTGTGTTCAGTTGGTCAGGGTCATAGTTGGCTCTGGTTTCAAAGTCAAAGTGTGTGTTTCTTTCACTGGCCCTTTGTAGCCTTTGGCTCTAGTTTCAGTACCAGCGTGTGTTTCTTTTACTACCTCTGGTTCCAAAGCCAAAATGTGTTTCTTTGGTTCTGGTTTCAGGGCAAGTGTTTCTTTCACTGGTTCTGAGTTCAGGGCCAGGGTGGGTTTCTATCACTTTCTTTGGTTTCAGGGCCAGGGTGGGTTTCTATCACTTTCTCTGGTTTTAGGGCCAGGGTGGGTTTCTTTTGCAGGTCGTTTTACCCTACAGTAGCCCTTCCCATTTCCTCACAGGCACCAACACTGAATGTGAGCAGGAATCAAGCACAATACAAGCTAGTGCTTCTGCTCCTGGAGTGGGAGAGGTGGCGACTATTTTTTTCACCTCTGGATGACCTGGCAGAGCTAAAAGGATTTGGTCCCCAAGGGGAGGAAGCACATGTCTTCACCTGGGTGGAGGAGGGTTTCACACCAGAGAAAACCTCTGGTCAATACAGGGAAGCAAACCTGATAGAAACACATGTAGAGACATATACACAGAGAGACAGACATGCAATAAAAACAACCAGGGTGGCTATCACATATTCATACACCTAAACAGACAGAGCTATCCGGTGATGAATGACATGGTTCCCAGACACTGAATCAGCATCTACATCTGACCTCTGCTGTGTCTAAACAGAAGGCACTTCAACAAGACTTACCTCCAGAAGTGACAGAACAGGTGACTTTCTAATTTGTTTCCTTAGGATTGGAGGTTTCAGATCCCTCTAGGCACTAGGCAGTAAATGTCAAAGGTAGCCCTGGTGGGGTTTAAATAGGAATGGCCCCATAGACTCATGTCTGAAGCTTGTCCTATGGGAAGGCGCACTATTAGGAGTTGTGGTCTTGTTGGAATATATGTGGCCTTGTTGGAGGAAGTGAGTACTGTGGCTGTGGTCTTTGGGGTCTCAAATGCTCAAGCTAGACCAAGTGTGCCTCAGTCTCCTTCTGCTGCCTGCTGATCAAGATATAGAACTCTCAGCTTCTTGTCTAGCCTGACATCTCCCTGCTGGCTGCCATGCTTCTTCCCATGATGATCATGGACTAAAACATTATCATTAGATGTTTGGTGTTTGCCCTGCATGGTTTCAGACTTGCCTTGGTCCAATCTTTCCTTAATTCCTTGAAAGGGAAATGTATATTCTGTGCCATTGTGTTTGGGTTGATATGATTCATGATTTGTTATTTATTACATGAGGTCATAGTCAAGAGACCTCCTTGCATGTCAGAAGAAACTGTGGACATTCAAACAGTATTGGGACTATTACATAACATGTGAATCTATGAAATCAGACTAAATGCATTTTGCATCATGGTTTGTGAATTTGTCATGACCTGTGTCAAAATGTTGAGGGTTGAATGAAAAATCTTCCAGGTAGTGTGCTGAGTTTGAGCATTTGTCTTTGGTGTGAGCCTTCATTGGTGACTTACAAAACCCTTAGGAGGATCCTTTCTGGAGGAATATAGTCTCATCACATTCCTTTATTTTTTTGAAAGTGAGCAGCCCCCTTCCTTCTCATGTATGCATGCCATACCAGCATTAGAGACTCCTTTTTTTTTTTTTTTTTTTTTTTTTTTTGGTTTTTTGAGACAGGGTTTCTCTGTCTGTGACAGTCCTGGCTGTCCTGGAACTCACTTTGTAGACCAGCTGGCCTCAACTCACAGAGATCTGCCTGCCTCTGCCTCCTGAGTGCTGGGACTAAAGGTGTGCGCCACCACACCTGGCTCCGTTCTTAAATAATGTAAAGTAGAAGCAATTGCTTTTCCTTGCGAATCCATATTTCTTGACTGATATTTTTATGTTTATATTTTTGGCAGATTGAATCAGGTTTTTGTACATGTCAGGCATTTGCTCTTGTGCCTAACTTTAGCCCTGTCATGACTTTTGAACTTTGGCATTGGTGTCATTTTTCAGAGCAAGAATGTATTCATTCCTGAAATTAATATTGATCTCCTGCATCACTAAATTGTTGATGTGTAATATTTTCCCTACCTTTGTATACGGTTTTACACTTTCATATTGTTTTCAAATGTGTGGTCTTATCTGTTAACCCATCTGTCTATACTCCCTCCCATTTGGTGTTTGTTTTACTGTTTTAGGATCAGCATTTACTTTACTAATGTTCTTGAGAACTCATTGATCTGTCAGACAGCAACTGAATAAAAATGCTTTCCTTCCTGGGAATTATTAGCCTCACAGTTCAATAGGGGTCACTCCAGCTTATGATAGACAAGTGCAGAACAGGCGGGAATGTTTAACTCTGTGGAGGAATTTTGAGTGAGGCCTGAGTGCTTTCTGTTTTTTAGTTTGAGACAGGGTCTTGCTATGTTACCTTTGGCTGTCCTGACAATCTCTACATAAACAGGCAGGCTTGGAAATCTCAGGGTTTCACCTGTCTCTGCCTCCCATGGTTTGGGATTTGAGACGTGCACCACCACACCCTTATTGTCCATCCTTTCTTGACATTAATAACTTTGATAAAGTTCTGCTGATATATACTAAATAGTGTTACTCTGTTTGCATGTCTCTCTGTATATATTCCTAGGCATTTCTCCTGCTGTGCCATATTCTATTCTGTGGGCACTGGAATGGAAGGATCATTCTCTTTTGATGTTTCCTTTTAAAATGAGTTGGTGACTGCATTTGATATTTACTCACCAATGTCATTGACTGTTTAGAGCACACAGAATTATGTAAATATATTCTCAATGAAGTGTACATTTGCAATTCAGTCTCATCATTTCAATTAAGAACATATATATGGGACATTTTAGGATGCAGTGACCTATGAGGATGTGCATGTGAACTTCACTCATGAAGAGTGGGCTTTGCTGGATCCTTCCCAGAAGAGTCTCTACAAAGATGTGATGCTGGAAACCTACTGGAACCTCACTTCTATAGGTAAGAATGTGAGCTTTCTGTCACTTTTTAGCTTAAGGGGGATAAGCTTTTTTCTTTGGATTGGTGCTCTTCTGTGATTTCACATATGAAAGGGGGAGAATCTGGTGAATAAATCAGGCATGGTATTAAGTTTCATGAAAGATAGTAATTTCAAGTGTGTCTAATTTCCAGTAATATATCACATACATTTTCTGGTACCGTATTTTAGGTTACAAATGGGAAGACCATAATATTGAAGAACATTGTCAGAGCTGTAGAAGAAATGGAAGGTAATTTTCATGTGCAAGCTTGTATATATGTATGTGTGTGATAAATATCAGATCCCCGGTTGCTGACTTCCTCTGTCACTGATGCAATAAGTCAAATCAAACCAAATTAATAAATCCAGATTTAATAAACAAGGCATAGCAAATCAGCGCACTTTCAGGGTCTCTCAGGAAGTCAGGAGACAGAATAGGAGAGCACCCCTGGCAGATCTATGGGCCGGGTCTTAAATAGCCAGTAGGCATGGGCATGGTCCCAGGCATCTCTGGGGAGAGGAGCCACCAGTAGTGGGCTTTCCAGAATGGGGACCCCTGAGCTGGAGATTGCAAACTCCCAACCTTTTAGGGTCTATATGGGTGCAGGTTCAAGTCTGTCTATTTCCTGCTGGCATGGGATGATGTGGGAAGGTTGGAGTTGGGATTATGGGTGGATCAGAATTTGGATAGCTGCCATCCAGGAGACCTAAGGAATCTGTTCTTTTTTTTTTTTTTCCTGTTTTTTCGAGACATGGTTTCTCTTTGTAGCTTTGGTACCTTTCCGGGAACTTACTCTGTTGCCAGGCTGGCTTTGAATTCACAGAGATCTGTCTGCTTCTGCCTCCTGAGTGCTGGGATTAAAGGTATGTGCCACCACCTCTAGGCACAGGAATCTGTTCTTGAGGAGACAGAATGCAGGGTGCTAGGAGAAAAAAATAGATTATTATCACCGGCCCTCTGAATTGGGCTAACCATTGGTAGTAGGAAGACTGCCAGAAAGAATGGAACTGAGAAGTGTCCTGGTTGTACAAAGGGTGAATGAACGAGGCATGAGGGTAGATATGCCCTTATTTGGGACATCTTAGAAATCTAGGTTTCAGTTGCTGGTTAGTTGCCCACTTGTGCGTAGAGAGGTGATACCAGCAGTGAAGTTCCAGGAGCTTGGGGAGACGACATGGCAAATTGAGGGATGATGTGTTCCAGGAGTGCTGGAGCCATAGCATCTGCTGTTTCCCTGGAGGTTGGGAGAACATCCATCCTGTGAATGTGTCATAAGAGTTAAGAGATATGGATCTTTTTATGAGTGGGCAGTTGGGTGAAATCAACCTGTTATTATTCCCCCAGTTGGTGCCCTTGATTGGTTTGCATTCGGAGCTATTGCAGGGGCTGGTGTATGTGTAGGGCCCCTGAGGGTTTGACTTTGTCCAGGCAGGAAGAGTGAACCTACAGAATATGCTCAAAAATGGGTGGGGTCAAATTAGACTCTGGCAAGTAATATTAGTTTCCATCAGGAAAGTGGCCTAGCCTTTTTTCCAGGAACCTTTAGGTATATGTAAAACTACTGGAACAGATTTATATCTTGGTGTCATGGTAAAAAGCTATGGCCTTGGGTTAAGGCATAAACATTTTTAAGTCTAAATTCACTGAACAAAGGAGGTTGGGTGAGTGAAGGAGGAGGGAGTTGAACATGCCTGCAGGGTTCTATATCCTCTCTAATGCTAATCTACCTCTAAAAGCAGAAAAGAGTAAAATCCACAGAAATTTAAGGACCCCTGAAAACTGTTTGTAATCAGTGCTCTGTCAGTTTATCGAAACTGCATTTATCAAAGCTAAAACTTTGAACCTCTGAAGTTATATCCGAAATCAGTTTATCCTGTACCATGGAGTCTGTAAATGAGGCATACCTGTCTGTATTTTTAATAGGAAACTTACTAATGAACTACTAAGGTGCTTGTAGCCTTGGGATTGGGAATGCTGTTAAACTGGCAAATCTATTAGTACCCTGGGCATCAAATACCATCAGATCTGAGAAGGATAAGTAAATGAGCAGGAGTGAGCCAGCTTTTCAGTCACATAGACAGTCCCAAGTCTCTCTGTGGTCACTGGGGGACAAGTCCCAGAGGTAGCACTTGTTCAGATGCCAAGCGCAGAGGATCTGACAGATGCTATGTGAAGTAGAAATTTGGGGAGATCGGCCTACCTGTCTTGGCAGAGTGGGACATTTGTTCCCCCATTGCTCCACTTATTCACAGTCTGGTTATGATCTCAGAAGCAGTTAAAGGTGTAAAGCAGCTTTTCACTGTGTGGCTGGCTTTGTTACATTTGAGGCAAGCCTCCAGGTGGAAAATCTTCTGTGGCCCTCCATGTTCTTGGAGAAGATACAGGATGCTTCCAGGAGTTGGCATGTCTCTCATAAAAAGCTTTTATATTAAATGCCATATTCTCAGGTCTCTAAGGGTGTTTGAGAATGTTAGGTATATCTAAATTAGACAAATGTTGTTTAGGCTTAAATTTGAAGGCATATATAAGTTAAGTCTGGACATACAATTTACCCAATTAGTTACAGCTTACCAATGTTAGTAAGAGCAAGAAGATTCAGGCTGTAGTTTTTAGCCGACAGGTGGTGGTGAGGTTGGTTGATGCGGTGGTGGTGGCAGCGGTGGAGACAGCTCTGGTGGGAAGGACGAAAGGAGGAGGGACCAAACAGAACAAACTGCCTGGAGACATTTATGTAGTAGTTCAGGGTGTGAAAGCAGACAGGAACAGAGAGAACAGACAGGAACAGGACAGGAATTATCAAACAGAAATGTATCCTAACCACAGGAATTTTCAGACAGAAATATATCCTAACCCAAATTCTATTGGAGACCTAATGTCTCCTTGGTGGGCCCAGTCCACAAGGTTACCCTTACTAAAGATGGTGGTGAAGTATCTTTAACCTCAATAAAAATGGCAGCTGGCTACATTGTCCCCCTTACTGAAGATGGCGGTGAAGTCATTCACCTCTCTCTCTGACCTTAGCCAAAATTGCACCTGCCCAGATGGCTGGCTGGCTGTAATTAGAGTAGTTGCAGACCACGTGATGTTCTCCAGCACAGTTTCAATCTGGAGTCACAAGCCTTACAGGTTTTAAAACATCCAATTAGCAAGACACATTCAGAACACATAAACTCAGGCCTTCAAAACATGTCAGAAACCCACATGTGTGTCCACACCATTCACACATTTCCACCAACACCTTTAAGGAGAAGACAAGGAAACAATGCCACAATAGATGTTACAGGTTCAATCATAGCCATGTGAGAGGCATGTTGTAGGACTGTCCATCCACTTACTGCTATGCCTTCCATTTATCATATAAGGTATACACATTGATGAGGAGATTGGGCATGTCCAAGACCTTTTATAAGTAAAGCTTCCAATTAAAGCTAGTGTTCCTCATTTTCTTGTAGTGAGTGATTTAACATAGTTTTTTGACAGGAGCACTTTATGAGTGATTTGGAGATGTAGAAACATGAATTTCTATTCCACATCTGTATGACAAACAAAACATTTGACTATGGGAATGCAATGTGAAAACCCTTTATTTGTTATCTTCCTTTACCAGGTGTGTCATCTGTCACTCTGGATACAAGGCATGTGAGCATAAGGGACATGGAAAGCATTGTAGTTCTGTCTCTCTCAGAACAAGTGGAAGCTATGTGGTAGTCCCCAATGTGAGAAGACATGATGACTGTGATACAAGTTTACAATTAACTGGTTTTCCAACTTCAGTGGCAATTGATCAACAAACTCTCAATGGAGAAAATGAGTACCAAGAATATGGAAATTCATCTCTCTCATCTGGTTTAATGTGTACATGTAGTGTGGCTCACAGTATAAGAAAATGTTATAAATACAATCAGTGTGGTCCAACTCTGAGTTCTTCAAGTTCTCTTCAAAGAGGTGAAAAACCTCATGTGTTAAGAGAAAATAATAAATGTGAGTCATCTACTAAAGTCTTAAGCTGTTACAGGCATCTTAAAACACACCGAAGACCCATTAATGAAAAGAATCTCTATGAATATAATCAATGCGATAAAGTCCTTAGATGTGATTGGTCTTTAAAACACCAAAGAACTCATTTGGAAGGAAAACCCTGTAAGTATAATCAAAGATATAAAGGCTTTGCATGTCACAGTCTTCATCAAGTACATAGAATTCAAACTAGGGAGAAAAGGTATGAATCTCAGCAATGTGATAAAGCCTTTGCATGTCCCATAATACATAATAGAAGTTACACTGGAGAGAAACCCTATAAATGTAATCAATGTAGTAAAGCCTTTGCAGAGAAGAGAAGCCTTCACAGTCATGAAAGATTTCATACTGGAGAGAAACCCTATAAATGTAATGAATGTGGTAAAGCCTTTAGAGGGAAGAATAGTCTTCTCAGTCATGAAAGAATTCATACAGAAGAGAAACCCTATGAATGTAATCAATGTGGTAAAGCATTTGCATATAACAGTCATCTTCTCAATCACTTAAAAAGTCATACTGGAGAGAAACCTCATGAATGTAAGCAATGTGGTAAAGTGTTTGCACAGATGCGTGATCTTCACAGACATGAAATAATTCATACTGGAGAGAAACCCTATGAATGTAATCAGTGTGCCAAAGCCTTTGTACAGAAGAGTGATCTTCACAGACATGAAAGAATTCATACGGGAGAGAAACCCTTTGAATGTAGTCAATGTGGTCAAGCCTTTGTACAGAAGAATGTTCTTCATAGACATGAAATAATTCATACTGGAGAGAAACCCTATGAATGTAATCAATGTGGAAAAGCCTTTGCAGAGAAGAGAAGTCTTCAGAGTCATGAAAGATTTCACACTGGAGAGAAACCCTATAAATGTAATCGATGTGGTAAAGCTTATAGAGGGAAGAATAGTCTTGTCTGTCATGAAAGAATTCATACTGAAGAGAAACCCTATCAATGTCATGAATGTGGTAAAGCCTTTGTACGAAAGAGTTATCTTCTCAGTCATGAAAGAATTCATACTGGAGAGAAACCGTATGCATGTAATCAATGTGGTAAAGCCTTTACATATAATAGTCATCTTCTCACTCACTTAAAAACTCATACTGGAGAGAAACCTTATGAATGCAATGAATGTGGCAAACTCTTTGCACAGAAGAGTCATCTTCTCAGTCATGAAAGAATTCATACTGGAGAGAAACCCTATGAATGTAATCAATGTGGTAAAGCCTTTGCAGAGAAGAGTCATCTTCTCTGTCATGAAAGAATTCATAATGGTGAGAAACCCTATGAATGTAATCAGTGTGGTAAAGCCTTTGCACAGAAGAGTCATCTTCGTAGACATGAAAGTCTTCATACTGGAAAGAAACCCTATGAATGTATTCAATGTGGTAAAGCCTTTGCACAGAGGAGTAGTCTTCAAATTCATGAAAGAATTCATAATGGAGAGAAACCCTATAAATGTAATCAATGTGGTAAAGCCTTTGCAGAGAAGAGAAATTTTCACAGACATGAAATAATTCATACTGGAGAGAAACCCTATGAATGTAATCAGTGTGGTAAAGCCTTTACAGAGAAGAGAAGTCTTCATAGTCATGAAAGAATTCATACTTGGAAAGAAACTCTGTGAATGTATTGAATATGGTAAGACCTTTGCACAGAAGAGTCATCACAATCATGAAAAAATTCATACTGGACAGTACCATATGGATGTAATCGATGTGGTAATTTCAGATGTGATCTGCCATGTGGTTGCTGAAAACTGAATGTCTACAAGAGGTACTTTCTGGAGTCCAGCTCCATAGGGGTTTTAGGTCCCTAAGAGGAGATGGGGCATTAACAAAGCAAGGAGACTGCCATGATCTTAGCTTGAATCAGCGTGGCTGCTGCTTTATTGAAAAAGGACTATACCCTTTATACTGTATAACTGAATCTCAGTTTAGACTAAAGCAAGGTTAAAAACAGACCTGATGATTCCAGGCTAAAAGCAGCTATCAACCTCATCACAGCATTTTTCTTGAGGCAAAAGTGATAAATTCAGCAAGTATCTAAATGCCTTTGTGGATGTGAGCCCATTGTTTCCTCCCAGTGTGCTTTCATCCTTGAAACTAGGTATGCCCAGTTAGTAAATCATTAAGTTCTCTATTCTTGGTGTACTCAGAGGGATACAATGGGGATTCTTGTGTGAGAGTAGGCATAGTTATCATGCTATATGGTTCCATGGTCAAGGGAATTTTTTCCAAGAATTTTGTTTAAAGGACTGCCTATGTATATATTCTCATCTTCCACTGTAGCTCACAAACAAAATTCCCACAGTAAAAGGGATAAGGAGACTTTATCACATATGGTGAGAATTGTTAAAATTGAAATAAAAAGATGCCGGAGAATTAAGATCTGCAATGTCAAAATGCTGGACCTTTGTCAAGTAGGAATGGTCCCTGTGCAGTCTACACTAGGTAATAAACTGCTAAACCACCTCTCATCCCTTTTTCTTTTATGATTCAATTTATGATTTTTTTTTTTTCAAGACAGGGTTTCTCTGTGTATCTTTGCACCTCTCCTGGAACTCACTTGGTAGCCCAGGCTGGCTTCGAACTTACAGAGATCTGCCTGGCTCTGCCTCCCAAGTGCTGGGATTAAAGGCGTGCGCCACCACCGCCCGGCTCAATTTATGATTTTTGTCTTTGTGAGTGCACATGAATAGTATAGTTTGAAATCAGATGTCAGCCTGTGTGACCCAGTTCTTATTTTGTACCATTTGGGTTCTGAGGATCACACCAGGTCTGTCAGACTTGGTTGCAAGCACCTTTACCTGCTGAGCCATGCCATGATGAACACTGAGCCCTGATATATATATATTTGAAGAGACTGATGAAGTTCAGGCTGACCTTGAACTTAAGACCTTTCTGCTTCCACCTCATTATTAGGATGACAAGTTTCACTATCAAAACGTTTATGCAGAGGTCTTGTGTGTGCTAAGAAACCATTCTGTCTAACGAGAGCCATCTGATATGAAAGCATTGACGTAGCCAGTTCTTCATACACAGCCACACTGAGACCCTGCCCCAAAACCAAACCAAAACTGCGAACCAACACCAAATTTTGTTTAAAACTGTGTGTGTGTGTGTGTTTTGAAACAAAGTGTCTCAGTTGCCTAGGCTGGCCTAGAATTGACACTGTAGCCCTTGAATCCTGCTCCTTGGCCTTGGCTGCTTAAGTACCTGGAGAACATGGCTGGACTAGTGAGTGAGCAAGCCAGAGCACAGAATGGCCTAACTCTGTGTCTGGAGACACACAGCTAGTAGCCAGAGGTACATGACAAGATCAGAATGTTCCTAGGATAGGGTTGGAATCCAGAATCTTTCTTGACATGGAATGCTATCAGTTCAGCATGGAAGGATGGAACGAGGCCCAGGATCTGATCTCTTTGGGGTTGAAATGTCCTGAGAACCTTGTGGAGATACTTTATTTGTGCAACCCAATAAAGCTTATCTGAAAATCAGGAAAAAGCCAGTCAGTATATTAAACCAAGAAGTCGAGCATTGGTAGCACATACCTCTAATCCTAGCATTCAGGAGGCAGAGATTCATCTGGATCTCTGTGAGTTCAAGGCCACCCTGGGAACAGAGCCAGGCATGGCTGCACATGCCTTTAAATTCCAACGCTAGTTAGCCATAGAGGTCTGGAGACTTGTACAGATAGACTGGAAGTGATGTAGTTGGGTGGAGAGAGGAAGTGAGATGGCAGGCACAGAAAGAATATGTGTGTGTGTATACAGGAACTGGGGCTCTCTTTGGCTGAGGATTTCTAGCGATAAGAACATGGCTAGCTGCTTTCTGCTTCCCTGATCTCTCAGTTTTTGACCTAATATCTTGCCCTTTTATTTATTTATTTATTTATTTTTAATTTTAAATAAGTCTACTTAGCCATTTGTCTTACAATTGGTACCCAATGTTTGTGGCATGAATTCACTAATAAACTACTTATGCCCTTGAAGGCCCCCTGGCTCAGTCCTTAGCTACACACACCCTAGACTCTTTGGCTTCTTCTCTCCTTGTGGGTGGTGGCCTCTCTCTGGATACTCATCTCCAATTGCTACAAGACTAAGTAAGCTGCCTTGCAACTCCCTCGGACATCTACTGTTCTATGCACTCAGCAAACTTTGTGAGTCAATTAAAATATCCTAAAGGGAGAAATTAATTAAAAGAAATTTTTTCCACATTAAAAATATCAGAAACATATTTACAATGGGGGGAATATCCTAAAGGGAGAAATTAGTTAAAAGAGAAATTTTTTCCACATTAAAAATATCGGAAACATATTTACAATGGGGGGAATTTGGTCTCTGACAACACATTAGGCAGTCTGAAAATTGAACAATTTATAAGAGGATAATTAATGTTGATGGGATTTACATAATGTTAATTATGAATATTATATGTTTGGTCATTTTTTATTTTAGCATTAAAAAGATTGTTTAATTTGAGTGCCAAGATAAAGATTTTAGAAAAACTTGTTAAAACAAATCATTGAGAAATTCAGACCCAGACAGAAGAATTTAAATGTGAACCTATCTCAACACTGAATTATACGGTTCCGGAGAAACAGCCTGTTTTCAAACAATCAACCTTAATCTATCCAGTACCCTTACAGGAACTGCCAAATGCTCAAGGCTGTGTACGAGCTAACTGGACTCCAGTGGAAATGTTAGATTTGAGGAGATTTAAAGAAGCTATAGTCTCATATTGTATGCATTTCCCACTTGTAAAGCAGATGTTAAACTCTTGGCCTACTTATAATAGAATTATTCTCTCAGGACTAGAAAGATTTGGTTACAGCTGTCCTAGAGGCTGGGTCACAGTTACAATGGAGCACCTGGTGGAAAGAGGAGGCTAAGACTATAGAACAATGATGTAGGGCTAGTGGTTTTGAAATTTCCCAAGATCAACTTCTTGGAGAAGGTGATTAATGGAATTTTCCCAAGCTCCAGCTGTGAGAAAATTCCTCCCAGAGTCCTGGGGATGATGCTGTATTGGGTGTGGAGAATCTGAGGGAAAGGAATCTATGTAACCTAGGCTCTTTTGTCTGTTTACTTTATGACAAAACTCTATCTATACAGCTTCAGTTCTGTCCTGAGTCTCCATTCCTCTATGTCCCTACCTTTTCTGTCTCCTCATAACCCTGGTAATAACTAAGCCCTTATGCTTTTGGTTTCATCTTCATCCTCTGTTCCTTCAACCTCCCTCTATCCACCCTGGGTCTTTACCCCTGGCCCTGATAAACTCTACAAGAGATCTGCTTTACCCTTTACAGAATCTCTATTCCTCTCTTCTGTGTGTGCTTGTGAAATTCTGCTCCAGTCCTTAGTGTGCCTGATTATGCAAAAAACGTTATTGTCCTCAATCTGGCTGCCATGCCCCTGGCCTGAAGGAAGGGGATAATCAGAGCCTCATTGGCACAAGAAACAAAGCTATACATCTAGGAGCCAGGTTGCCTCTGAATGGACATTTTACCTTAGTTTAGGGGCTTCAGGCACCAGGCAGGTGCTCTGGTAGCCATTCTGTTCCTTGCTTGTCTTTCAATGCTTTGTTTGGGGCTGGCCCTATCTTTGGATGTGGCTCAAAGGAAATATTTGCAAAAGACATATACCCAATTCAAATGCTAAAATAGGGAGTCAGGAGCTCAGGCAGAAATTTGTGCCTATGTGACTTTATCCAAGTACTTTGAGTATATATGCCTGAGATGGAGGTTCACACACACAGGTTTGACAATTATGAGCACAACGAATTCATTGCAAGACGCAGCTGAATATTAAAGCTATATAACACTAAATATTCCATGATAAATGACTTCCCATTTGACAGACCATGGGTTGGTCAAAGTATAGCTTATCATATACAGCTGGACTCCCTATATCATTTCCTTCTGGCTCACCACAGTGATTATACTGATAATAAAAAGACAATTTTTATATGATGACCACACCCTAATTTTCTGCTGAATGGCAGCCCTGCATGTGTGGGATAGATTTGAAAAAGCAGGAAAGATAACTGAGTCATTTACGAGAGTTATACAGGGCCCAAAAGAAACCTCCACAGATTTCTTACAAAGGCTGTTTTTAGCAGTAAATAGAATGATACCAAATTTAGAAGCTAGAGAGTTAATAATTACATCTCTGACTTTTGAAAATGCCAATGCAGCATGCATAAGGGTAATTAGGCCATTAAAGGCACGATCAGCACCCTTGGAATAATGGATCAGAGATACAATTAATATTGAATCTCATGATGATGAAACTTGGACAGGAGAGGTGATTTCCAGAGCACTGAAGAAAAATGTCAGATGCTTTAATTATGGTAAGTAAGGTCACCTAAAAAGGGACTGTAAACAGGGCATTCCTAGAAATGTTTCTTCAAGGAACAATGGCAGCAGAACGCCCCTCCCTTCTGAATTATGCAGAAGGTGTGGTAAAGGCAAACAGTAGACTAATGAATGTAAATCAATAAGGGACAGACTAGGTAATCCTTTGCCTTTGCCATTGGGAAACTCCCTGATGGGCCTCTTGACTGGCCTCTCGCAGGCCCACATGGCAAATTCAGTTCAGTCCTTTCCTGCCATTGTAGAAAAAAACCACTCCCAGAGCAGTTAAATAACCAAATGCTTATTGTAATAAACCATACTGCTCTGTGTGATAGAACAGCTACCGCAGAGAGAACCAAAAAAAAAAAAAAATCAGGAAAAACCATAAAGTGAATTTTTTGGCAAACTTCTATAAATGAAGAAAGACCAAAAATTAAAAATATGAATAAATGATGTTCTTATTGAGGGTCTTGTAGACACAGGTGTGGATATAACAATAATTGCACCAGAATCTTGGTATCCAGATTGGCCTCTTCAGGAGGTAAATGTTCAGCTGTTAGGGATTATCTCAAATAAAACACTATAAGATGATTCAAATGTATAGGGCCAGAAGGACAGACAGGAAAATTAAAGGCATATGTGGCTAACATAGCTATGAATTTATAGGGCTGTGACTTATTACAACAGTGGAATACCCAGATAAACATTCTTCTAGTCTCAGAAACAAACCACAAACTAACACTTGTTTCTGAGAAAAATATTAGAAGATATTATAAAGAACAGTCATCAGCCATCCAGATTGTACAAGAACAGGGCACAACAGCTGCTGATCTTTCAAAGACACTATCAGCCCTGCCTTTCAAATGGTTAACAGACAAGTCTGTATGGGTTCAGCAATGGCCTTTAACAACAGCCCCTCACCTGGGAACCTAGGCAGGGGCTCCTTCTTGAGCCACACCCACAACTCTCCTCCTCCTCCTCCTCTTCTTATTCTTTTTGAGACAGGGTCTCCAGGCTGGTCTTTAGCTCCCACCATTCTTTTCCTCTGTCTTCTTTTGGACAAGGCTGGTCTGCATCCTGTTTGGTTCTCAGTTGGGGAAACGTGTGTGTGTGTGTGTGTGTGTGTGTGTGTGTGTGTGTGTGTGTGTGTTTGTCCCCGCATTCACCTACTGATAACTCTCCTCCCTCTTTTTTTTTGGCATGGCCAGTGATGGGAACCCGGGCCTTACACCTTGCTTTCTCCCCTCCCTTTCAACTACCACGTGCTCCCTAATCCTTCCACCTTTAGGCATTGTACCACATGGAATTCCTTCTGGGTCTTCCCAGGCTCCTGAACCTTGAGCCACGTCAACTTCTTTTCGTCATAAAGGTCTTGTTTGGAGGTCGTGGGCACTCCAACACAGACAACCCACCACGTTGATTACTCAGCAGACAAGATGGACAAAGGGCTGGAGAGGTGGCTCAGTGCTCAAGAGCACAAGGGCTGCCAACGCAGCTGCCACACCTTGCTCCTGTAACTCCAGCTCAGGGCTCTGTCACCCTCTTCTGGCCGCCGTGGACACTGTAATACCACCACATGCCCAACTTTGAAAATATTTAAATTTCAAAAAAGACAATGTTAATAATAATTCTTGTCTCCGGTTGTGGCATATGTCTTTAATCTCTACCCTCGGGAGGCAAAGACAGGAGAGAATGTCTGTGAATTCGAGGCCAGCCTGGTTTAGGACAGCCAGGCACACACAAGTCCTATCTTGAACTCTGCCCTCCACCCGTCCCCCAACACCCTCCGCCCCATGATAGTAATTTTGTTTTGTTTTGTTTTTTCCAGACAGGGTTTCTCTGTGTACCCTTGGCTGTCCTGGGACTCGCTCTCTAGGCCAGACTGGCCTCGAATTCATAGAGATACACCTGCCTCTGCCTCCCAAGTACTTGGATTAAAGGTGTGCACCCCCACTACCAGGCTAATGATTCTTATTTAATTAAATTTTCTATTCAAATCACATTTGCAGTTCTCAAAGTCCGGCACAGATGTGAGGAAAAATGCCATCCCCATACGTTTGGAAATTGAGGTCCAGAGAGGTCAAGTCAGTTGTTCAATGCTGCCAACCATCCCAGCAAGTGCAGTCAGGACTCAAACCCAGGCCAGGCCACCCAGTCACTTTGAAGTAGATGACATCAGTTTTGCTATCAAGGATCCAGTCCCTCTTCAGGGATTCTGGGGCATCCTCTCTGCTTGCCCGGGGAGACTCCAGTCACTTGGTTTCCCATAGTCCCTGAGGTCCTGGGCTGACACCTGGACCAAGTACTTGGCATGGGGCTGCAGGGCCCTCAGGGTGAAGGTCGTGGCTTCAATGGGTCCCACCTGCAGGGAGAGAGGAGGTGGTGGTGGGTAGGACCACCATGCTCTGGGAGCTAGGTAGCCCGTTTGCTGGGTAAAGTGCCTGCTGTGAGTTCAAAATCTCAGCAGTCATGCAAGGCAGCCACAGAGTCATGTGCCATCAGGGCCACAGAGGGGCCAGAGGTGGAGACCTGAGGTTGCCCAGGGGAATCCTGGCTCACACTCTCTTAGCCCCCTCTCACCTGGCAGAAGTGAGAGGCTCCGTGGCGTTGGTAGCAAATGGGGTTCTTGAGAAAGA